CGGAGACCCACTCTCTGTTTCTACCCTAGAGAGGGGAGGGAAAGGGCTGGAGGCTTCTGTGCTGGGAATGGGCGGACAGCCTGTACTGTTACTTAGATTTCATCTCGTCTTCACTCTCCTGTTCCATTACATTCAATGATGCCACATTTCTAATCCACAGCTACTGAGCTTTTGTTTCCTTACATTTAATCAATGCTTTGGATGGTGGCGATGGCCTTTTTCTGAATCTTGTATTTTCTCCCAGCGTTTGCGATTGCTGGGCTTTCTCCCTTTCTTTGCAGTTGAGCTTCTTGAGATAGTCTTCTGTTTTATATAGTATACACTCTTGAAAAATCTGAACATCAGACATCTGAAAGTTAAATATTAAAACTGAATTACATGTATTAAGGTGTCTTTATCCCCAGAAAGATAAGAAAATATTTAAATTTCTGATTATAGTTCCTGGAAATATCTGGAACTGGGCTGGGGATGTAACTCAGTTTGTAGAGTGTTTGTCTGGCAATGGTGAGGCCCTGGTTTTGAAACCAGGTGTGGTGATACATTCCTGTCTTTCTGCCATTTAATAGGTAGAAGCAATAGTTACATGGCGAATTTGAAGCCAGCCTAGGATACATGACAACATGTCTCAAATGGAATTGTCCGTTCTCTCTCTTCTTGTATGTTCATGTGTCCATGTATGTGCATAGGTGTAATCTTACTTATGTACATATGTGGACATTCGTGTGGAGGCCAGATGTTAAGTAAGGGCAGGTTGTTGTGTGATAAATCTTCTTCTGTGAAGACACAATACATGTCTTCTCACCCCAGATAGGGATCCCACGACAGACCAAAGCATGGATACCAACAAACTCCAGCTTGGTGAACTCACATGAGCAGAAATGACTCAAAGACAGCTGCATCATCAAAGCCCACCCCCAGCGGAGGTGACAGCTCACAGGACTGGGAACCCCGAACAGCCTACACTGCCTGCAGGCAGCTCACTAGGTTGGAAAGTGTCCTTTGCATGTGTCTTCATTTGGTCCAAACTTTTTCTAGGCAGTTTGGTTGGTTTCTGCTTCTCCCAGACAGTTTATCTGGTCAGACTCTATTTTTTGCAACTTGGCTTCAGTTCTCTGAGAGGGACTCTTGGGTTTTGCTCCTTACTCTGGGAGGGAGGGGCCTAGTGAATCTTGTCAGTTTCAGAGACTTCCTGGAGCTGTTTTGAGTGGTTTATCTTCCTGCTTAAGGAGCTTCCTGCAAGATGACGATCTGTATCTTTCTCTGTAGACCAGGCTGGCCTGGAGCTCACAGAAATCTGCCTGCCTCTGCCTCCTGAGTGTTGGGATCAGAGATGTGTCCCATCACCACCCTGGCCAGGATGGAATTTTTTTTCCCGAGACAGGGTTTCTCTATAGTTTTGGGGCCTGTCCTGGAATTCACTCTGTAGACCAGGCTGGCCTCAAACTCACAGAGATCTGCCTGCCTCTGCCTCCCAAGTGCTGGAATTAAAGATGTGTGCCACCACCACCCAGCAATGATGGAATGTTTTATTGTGGGAATTTACTGTTATGGAACACATGTGTCTTCTGAAATTGCTCTCCACGATGCTGTTTTGAGGCAGGGTTTCTCACTGTACCAGAGCTAACCAATTTGGCTGAACTGGCCCTCCAGCAAACCTGAGGAGTCCTTTCTTCTCTACCTGGGTCGGTGCAGGGATTACTGATGGGTGACACCAAATCTCAGCTTTTTCACATGGGTGCTAGGGGTGGCCTCCTTCTCAGGCTTTTGCAGCAAACGCTGATGATGAAAATGATTTCACCCTCTTCACAGCCCTTCCTTCTCAGTTTCTTTTTTTTTTTTTTTTTTTTGGTTTTTCGAGACAGGGTTTCTCTGTGGCTTTGGAGGCTGTCCTGGAACTCACTCTGTAGACCAGGCTGGCCTCGAACTCACAGAGATCTGCCTGCCTCTGCCTCCCGAGTGCTGTGATTAAAGGCATGTGCCACCAACGCCCGGCTCCTTCTCAGTTCCTTGAGGGATGGTCTTGAACTCACTATGTAGACAAGATTGGCTCTAGACTCCTGATCCTTCCTCCATGTCTCAAGTACTGGAATTATAAGTGCTCTACCATGCCTGGATTTCTCTTGATTTCTTTTCTTTCGGTTTTTTGAGACAGGGATTCTTGTGTAACAGTGCTGGATGTCCTGGAACTCAATCTGTAGACCAGACAGGCCTCAATCACAGAGATCCTACTGTGTGCTGGGATCAAAGGCATGCGCCATTATGGTGCTCTCTCCTCGGCCTCTTGAGTGTGAGAATTATAGCACCTGGCTAACTCGGTGCTTGCTTACATATGGGGATTGAGCCCAGGGCCTCACACATGCTTGGCAAGCAATTTACCCACTGAGATGCACTCCCAGCCCCTCATTTCAAATTACAAAACAGTATACAAAAAGGTACTAGGACTGCACATGGTTCTACTTATCTCTAAATCCAGTTCTTTAGAGAATTTCAAGTTCAAGGCCAGCCTGAGGTACACAGCAAGACCCTATAGCAGGAACTACAAAAAAGAAGGTGCTGGGACTTGGATTCACACAGATGAAAAATCCCATTTTCAGTCTAAATGTATGTCTTTGTCCCTGGCTTCCTGGAGGAACCAAGGACTGTAGGTTTAAAGAAGACACAGTCACAGGCAAGCTTTTTGCCTCAGGACTACAGTGCATCTTGAGGCTTTGGGTATGGGCAAGGAGATTGCTGTCCTGCCTCAGTTACATACAAATGTCCACCCACAGGAGCTGGAGAGATAGTTCAGAGGTTAAGAACACTGACTGCTCTTCAAGAGGTCTTGAGTTCAATTCCCAGCAACCACATGGTGGCTGACAACCATCTACAATTCAATCTGGTGTATATGTAATAAATGAATAAATCTTTTTAAAAAACGAAAAACAAATGTCCACCCACAAATAACCATCTTTCCCTTCCAGGCTGTTCCCCTGCAAATACTAGTAGAAATGCAGTCCACTGTGTGTTGCCTTGAACTCACTGTTAGTCATAAAGCTAATGCTATTTCTGTGTGAGAGCCAGGATCCTACATTTGCTGTCTGTATCTCATGCTCACTCTTCAGCCCACTATCAACTTCCACTTCCCAGGCTAAGATCACCAGACACCTCCTAATTGCAAACTCAAGGTGTTACTATTCAGTATCGATTGTAATCTGTCTGCCTCTGGCCAATCCTTAGTTCTTCTGCCGTCATGACACCAGTGTCCTCTGACCATCTTTCATCACTTAGGAAAGGCATCCTTAACTCCTCCTTTCTCTTATACCATCTCCTCCAATCCAATGACTCACCAAATTCTGTTGACTGTACACATCTCCTAATCCCATCATCTTTTTCATTTATATCTATTTATTTATTTATTTATTTAGTGTAGGTGTCTATGTGAGTGCACGCCACCTGTGTGCAGTGCCTGTGGAGGCCAGAAGAGGGCATCAGATTCCAGGAGCTAGAGTCACAGGCAGCTGTGAACCAGTTGATGTGGGTGATGGGAAGCCAACTTAGGTTCACTGGAAGAGCATCGAGTGCTCTTAAACACTCAGCCTTGTCTCCAGCCTATCTTTCCCATTCTATTAAAATATTTATTTAAAATTGTGTGTATGTTTGCATGTACAGGTGCCTACAGAGCCTAGAAGAGGGCACCAGATCCCCAGGAGCTGGAGTTAAAGGCAGTTGTGGACCAGCTAACATGGGTGCTGGGAACCGAACTAGGGTCCTCTGGGAGAGCACCAGGTGCTCTTAAACACTGTGCCATCTCTCCAGCCTCCTCCTTTCCCATCCTTCTGGCCACTGCTCTCTGTGTAAGGTTCATTGGCTACTTACTTGTGCTACTGGAGGAGTCCAAGGGCCTCTTACATTCGGGACAAGCAAGCTTATTTTTAAGCTTTTTAGTCGTGAGTTTCTTGTTGTTTTGTTTTGAGACAACGTCTTGGTGTAGTTCAAACTGGTCTCAAACTGGCTATAGCTAAAGCTGGTCTGTAACTCCTGATACTCTTACACCTTCCAAGCACTGGCATTACAAGGGTTAGACACCACACCCGGTTCCCGCAGGCTTATTTTTGGTGGATCTCCTCCAGTTTCTTAACGTAGTCTGTTGGCTAGTAGGGTAGCTAAAATATATTCCTCCATGTCACTCTGAGGTTTGTGTAATTTATGGCATTGTATTTTAATCATCTCTTATACAAGTCTGTGTACCTCGTCAGAGTGGGAACTCCCTGAGGGTAAGAACCCAGTCTTCCCCACTAGAACACCAGCTTGGGTGCGGCAGCGGCACAGGTCAGGGATAGGTTTTCTGGGACACTGAACGATGAGACTACTTTTCCATTTCATTCTTAGTGGCTCAAACGCAGCTGGTTTACCCGATCCCTTGCAGTAGATACCGGGACCCACGTCTTGAAGCTGCAGCAAACCAGGGATTCTCATTTAATTTCAGTCGAATTCCACCGCTGATAGGCTTCCACTCTGCTCCCCTGCACCTGTGAACTAGGACAGACTTGATGAATGCACAGGAGGACTCTTGGGAGTTTTCTCGATCAATTGGACCTGTGCAATTTGAGCTACTTAAGCTCCCATGAAGACAGGTGCCCTTTCGTGTTAGGGCCTCTTTCCTCGAGTTCGGACGAGGCAGGGCAGGTAGCAGAGCAGGGGAAAACGTGAGAGCCACTTCTGGAGGGAAGGAGCAGAGCTCCAAGGAATGAAGAATAGCAGAGGACGACGCACAGGCGACGCTGGAGAGCAGCTTTGCCAGCCAAGCTCGGGTTTCCCTATGGCCCCGCCTCCTTCGCGAAGCCCGACCCCCTCTAGGGCGGGACCTTCCCCTCCAGCCAATTCTGGGAGCCGAACCCTGGCGGTTTGTACTCTTTCTTTCCAATGAGAAAAAAAGGAAGCAGCTTGGCTCCAATGACCAATCCGAGGAGGCGGCGCCTGGTTGTCAGGCAGGTTTGTAAGAGTTAGGGCCAATTGGAGGCGCAGCCACCGCTCGGCCCGGGCGCAGCGCGCAGGCGGTGGCGAAGAGACGCCGAGCGGGCCGAGTGCGGCCGAGCAGAGCCGGAGCCGGAGCGGGGCCGCAGGAGCCGGGCCGGGTGTGGACCGGCCGAGATGCCCTATAAACTGAAGAAGGATAAGGTGAGCGTGGCCTTTGCCCTTGCGCCTCCGCCGCGGGGCCTGCGCGGAGCTCTGGGAGGGGCCCGAGGCAGGCCCGGGACAGCCTCAGACTGACCCTCCGGTCCGGCCCCCCCGCAGCACTCCCGGGGCCGGCCCCTGGGCCGCGCGGCTGGCAGCACCCCCAGCCCGTGCAGCAGCCGGGACAGCTCTCCTTCTTCGCCCCGGACAGATTCCCCCCACCTATCCCTCTTCCCTTCCTCTTTGCTGCTACCCCTGGCCCCCTCCGGATCTGCTCCACTCCCAGCTCACTCCCTTGCTTTTTCTCCCCGCCTTCCTGTGTCCCCGAAACCCCACGGGTTTGGGACAGTCCTCGTCTAAGACTGCATCTTCCTCCAGTGCTACCCCACCCCCGCCCTGTACAGCCCCTTCCCTCCTCTCCTCACTAGCCTATAGCCGGCCTCTCCACAGTTCTGAACAGTCCCTTCTCCCTCCACGACAAGCCCCTGACCTAGAACCGCTCTGCTTTCTCTCTCCTCCGCCCAAATCTGGCCTAGGCCCCTCCCTCGAGTCTTCCTTTACACACAAACTTGTAAGCAGGACTGAGCCCTTCTGTTGATGGAACCCCAGAACGTCCGTGCTGGAAGGGAGCTTTTTGAGCCCATGCGTTATAGTCCCTAGTGGTACAGATGAGGAGACTGAGGCCGAGTCCAGGGAAGGGACTTGTCCAAGGTCACACATCCTGCTGGAGGCCCAGCTGCAACAGCAGCTCTCCCGACTTGGAGGGTTCTTCTGTGCAAATGCCTAACGGGCATCCTCTGGCTTCCATGTTCACCCTAAACCAACAGGCTCCTCCCCTTATCCCTTAGGATAACCTTTGCATTTCCTTGTTTTGCACCAGTGCTGAATTTCTCCCCTTCTTGATTTCCATTAAAGCAGGAATCTGCCCGGATCTGTTTAGTTTTCTTACTGTGCAGCCCAGCCACCCCTGGACATTCATACTTTGTCAATAATGCCCTGACACAGGCCATTTCTTTATTTGCACAGAGATCAAACCTAGGGTCGTGCACATTGCTGAGCATGTGCAGTACCACTGAGCTGCAGTACCACTGAGCTACACTCCCAGCCCCGCAGGCCATTGGTTGATGCTGCCTTCTTCGGTCTGCATAATGCCTTCATCTGCTCCTCATCCCTGCCGTTTCCTACCCTTTGTTTCCTGCTGTTGCTGAGATCTGACTCAGAGGTTGGTTTCTCTGAGGTACAGACTTACCCAGGGATGCTAGGATACCAGCTCCAGCCTCCCCCAGCTTCCCTTCTCTTGGGGCCGGCTCTGGCCTGGTAGTGTCACTGGTCCATCCTCCTGAAGACCCACCCCAGAGGTCGATTGCATTCATCGTCCCCCTGCCACCTCACCGTGTCAATCAAACGCTTTACCCTGGGGCTGCTGTGGATTTGCCAGATCGCTCTGATTATGGGTTGTCCCCGTAACGTCTCAGATCCTGAGATTTAGAGAATAGAGCTGCTGATGGCACCCTAGGTGCTGAACCTCCGAGGTGGTGCGTCCTACCCAGTCCTGTCCTTGGGAGTGGGTTTGCCAAGACGGTTTGGGTCATTCGCTTGTAGAAACTGTACATTCAAGACAGCTAAGCTGGAAACTGACGGGTGTGGAGTTGAGGGAGCAGTCGGGTTCTTGTCCGTCTGTAGTTTTTCCGACTGTGGATCAGGTCCTGTCCCATCTGTAGAAAGCCTTTGCCTACCGGAGGATTGAGAAATAGAGCAGACATTGTTAGGCTCCCGTAGGCCATGCGTGACTGGGATGCATGGAAGCCTTTATGAGATTTAATCTCCTACACTGGCTTTCTTAAAGTTCTGAGGGGGAGAGAGACGACAGTGTGACTGAGGTGTACCAGGGTGGAGGCAGGGGGTGGAGGCTCCTCACTGCTCCTCCATCCCCTGTCCCCATTCTCCCTGTCCTAGCTGTCCTCCACTGCTTCCTCTGCGACACTGTCCTGAGCCTTCACTTACAGACTTTCTGTGTTCAGCCCTGTCTGCGAATGAATTGTAGACAAGTCTTGTCTTCCTCCTTGAGGTAATAACTGAACTGTTGAGGCTTGGCATCTCCCTGCACACAGTAGGTGTGCTGACTCAGTCTTTGTGGAGATTTGCACCATTTTCTTCTGAGGTTGGATTTAGGTCTTTTATTCTCTTGCATGAAGTATCCTGCTCCCTCCTGCTAACTTATTCATGATAATAGACTTAATCAACATTGGGAGTTTATGTGCCAGGCACTGGGCTAAGGGAAGTGGCTCTATTGTTGTGAGTATAGTGAGGCCCAGAGGCTAGTTACCTCCCCACTCTCACATAACTGGTAAGAGTTGAGCTCCAACACAGCTGGCTCTAAACCCCAGTGCCTCACATCACGCGACAGCTGGGCCGGGCCACAGTGTGTGCGATTCACCTGTTCCTCAGCGGGCTTGTGGCCCTGTCCCCTACACCCACTCACGCCCACACGCCAAGGCAGCTGAAATCAGGCACATTCCCTGAGATGTTTCTCAGACATCGTGCTGAGTGCCATAGGGTGGGTGGTGTGGACAAGAAAAATCAGCAGCGGGCAATCAAGTAGAGAGAGCAGATTTGAGTGAAGACAGGTCAGCTTTGGTGGAGGGCTCGTGTCTGTGTGTGCTGTCCGTCACTTTGCCGTGGTGTCATGGCTGCATCTTTTTTTTTTCTTTTCCTCTACTACTTGCCTTGAGCAATTGGCAAGAGTCAGTGTGGCCAGCCCTGTGAGTAGGCACTGGGAGAGTGCTACCCAAGGAAGCCCCTTCCCCTTGCACAGAGCCCCAAGCTGTTCCCCATCCGAGAATGGTTTTCCCTCTCCACCCCCAGAAAGCCTTCCCCCTGTTCCAGCCCACACAGAACTCTCTTCTCCCTGAGATCCGTTTGCCCCCATAGTCACAATCATTTGATTTAGCACTTGTTACTGAGGGGCTTGGCTGCTGTTGAATTGCAGACTCTCAGAGCTGGAAGTGATTTCCAAGGTCCTCCAACCCAGCTCTCATCTAAGACTTGATTCCTTGTGCAGCACGTCTTAGAGGAGGTCATCCAGCCTCTGCTCAAACGCTCACCTTTCAGCTTCACTGGGCAATCCGTTTCCATACGACACTGTGAGAAAATCCACCCTTGTTGGCCCCAGTCTGTCCTCGGTCGGTGTCAGCCCATTTCTCTTGTTCCTCTGGGCCCTGGAGGACACGTTGTGTCTTTAGTCCACGTGGCAGCCCTTCCTCTGCTGGTTAAGCTTCGTCTGGCTCCCCCACCCTTCTCCTTCTATTCCCTTCCATTGTTAACTACCCTGGTTCCTGCAGCTGTTGCACTTCAGGCTGAGCTTTAGAATACACTGCTGGAATGGGCTGCTTTTCCCTTTGCAAGTCAGGATTTCTTATTGCCCCTTCCACAGGCTCATGCTCATGACTAGACCAGACCCACGAGCTGGGTTCTGTGGGGGCCAAGTACTCCACATAGGTCTGTGAAGTGAGTGGAAGTTCCCAAGACCTGCCGTGGCCGCCACCGCATTGATTTGTGTTGAGCCTGCAGTCAGAGCTACATCCTCAAGTCTTTCACGTTCTCCCCATCCTGTCCCTGTGTGGTTGCTTTTGTTTTGGCCCAGAGCATGGGAAGAGATGCTGGACAGGCCAGGGCTCTGAGCCAGTTGCCAGGTTCCCAAGGGAACCTTTAGATTGGTGCTCACAGTTTGTTAACAATTCAGGACCTCACCTCCATCTCTAGCCCCACTGCTTGTTGCCTGAGCCGCTCCTGGGCGGAGCCCTTCAGAAGGTTAGCACCCTGTTAAATACCTACAGCACCCTCTTTTGAGTGCTGCCCATGACATCTAAACAAAAGCCTCTGGGTCTTTCTGGATGGCCCTGAGGGGAGAGAGCTGATTTCTGTTCTAACATGGAAGCCTTTGGCAGGTCTGACCAGGCTGCCCAGCTCTTTTTTTTTTTTTTTTTTTTTTTTTTTTTTGGTTTTTTGAGACAGGGTTTCTCTGTGGCTTTGGAGGCTGTCCTGGAACTCGCTCTGTAGACCAGGCTGGCCTCGAACTCACAGAGATCCGCCTGCCTCTGCCTCCCGAGTGCTGGGATTAAAGGCGTGCGCCACTAACGCCTGGCCCCAGCTCGTTTTTCATTGATGCTATTCCAGTAAGCATCTCACCTTAGTTCTTCCTGACTGAGGGCTTCCTAACCCTACCGTGTTCATTCACCAGCCTGGTGAGGAGACAGATGGAGACTGCTGTCACGCTCAATCATTACAGTGAGGCTGGCGTCCTAACCAGAGTCTAAACCTTAGAGGAGCTGGGTCTCCTTTGTGTGTCCCGGGTCAACATAGTAGGATTTTGAAAATTTATTTTTGGTTTTTCAAGACAGGGTTTCTCTGTGTAGCTCTAGCTGCCCAGGAACTTGCTTTGTAGACCAGGCTGACCTTGAACTCAGATATCTACCTGCCTCTGCCTCCTGAGTTCTGGGAAGAAAGGCGTGCACCGCCATGCCGGGCTGACACAGTAGGATTTAACTGAATCAGTTGGGTAGTGCACAGTTAGAACAAAGACCTGCTCAGAGATACATCTCAGTGGTAGAGTGTTTGCTAACGTAGACGAGGTTTGATCCCCAGTACTAAAAAATAAAATACCAAGATTTTAGAGTTCAGGCAAGGCCTCTCCTTTCTCTTGGTCTCTGCTAACTGTAATTCCATCTTCTTCCAGCAGGAACCTCCCAAGCTTGCCAAAGGCACAGCCAAGCCCAGCAGCTCGAGCAAAGATGGTGGAGGAGAGAACACAGATGAGGTAAAAGATTTAGGCATAGCCCTGGTTTCAGTATAAGTGCTACAGCTCCTTGATAGCTCGGGGCTGGGGTCTGAGGGGATAGTTACACAGGCAGAGGCTTCTACAGCCTACACGGGGCAGCAAATCTCAACTGATTTTGGGCAGGAATTGGCTGGTATGGAACAAATAAGTACTCTAATTCTTTCAAATTCCTTAGATTCTCATGGAAGTTGTTTCCTGCCTGTACTTTTTAGTGTTGCTAACTCCTTTCTCAGTGACTGGGGGTATGGCGCATGATTAGTATGCTTAAGGCCTTGGGTTTAATTTCCAGTATGCTCAAGTGTATGCTGTGAGGATGTCTTTCTTAAAGTAAAAACCAGGGAAAGTAGTGAGGTCCATTTAGGCATGTCTGTAAACTCATCATTTGGGAAGTTGATGACCCCAAGTTTGGAGCTAGACTGCGAGACATAATAAGACCCTGACTCAAAAAGGGGCTGGGAGGGGGGGGCGGGAGATTTGTGGTCCTGGAGAAAAGGGGAAAAGTCCACAAATGCTTCATGGAATGACACGTTACTTTGGTATGGATCTGGGTGGGGCAGGACTGGGGAGTAGCTGGTGTCCCCGAGTTGGGCAGGGCTGGGTCCACTGCTGTTGGTCTCAGTGTGACCAAAGGACAGTCATGAACAGAGGTGAGCACAGCTCAGCAGTCTAGGGCTATAAAGCAATAAACAGGCGAGCAAGATAGCCAGAGAGTAGAGGGGCTTGGGGAAGTTCAGGGGTGTCCTTGAACATCTGGGGACAGCCAGTGGCTGCCTTGTTTGCTGAACAGTGAATGTGGGAACTGCTGTCAGTCTCTCTGCCTTTTCCTTCCTGCTCTTCGCTGCTCTAAACTGTCCAGGAAGCAGAAGTCTTAGTTACTGGTTGGTCTTGGGTCTTCCCTGAGAAAGGAGATTGACAAGTGTTTGTGGTTAACTATGGATTTAGATTTTCCAGGCTCCTTGCTGTTCCTGTCCCCTCTAAAGAGATCTGATGAATGCTTGCATTGGTGACCATTGTTTTAGGACTTGCAAAGTAATCAGGAGAAATAGGCTAGGTTTCTTGCCCGATTTGCAGACCACAACAGAGTAGTGACCCCTTCCCTACGTTTGCACAGTAATCTGCACTCTCTGCACTGGTCCTTGTCCCCAGACATCGTAACCATTTGTTCCCACCTGGCTGTGAACTGAGGGGAAGAGCTGTGTGGTGTCGTGTGTCACCCACCTCATACCTGTCCTCTCACTGTGGGTCCTAGCAGGTGTGTCGGGGACACACCCTCTAGATCTTGATGGGACCCACTGGGAAAACAGTTGAGAGTTAGTGATCAGTATTAAAACTGCCAGAGACTCAGAGCCAGGCCTTAAAGGGACAGGAAGAACACTTAGAGGCCCTCCCCTCCCTCTATCTCACTAACACTCTTCTAGTTATTAGGCGCCCTGGTCATTATCTGCCTAGAGAGGCCTGCCTCGACCACTGACCTCCGTCCCCAGGGCATGACTAGGGCCCGGTGAGTTGCTGCTTGGCCTTCAGTCCCTTGGCTGCACTTTTTCTGGTGAGCTCACTGCGTATTGGTAAGGAGGCTTCTGGAGGGTCTTGCTTGCCTGGCCCGGTGTGGACACCCACGTGCGAGTGAAGAGTGGTCTAGAGAGTGAGTGAGACGTCGCTCACAGAATGGGAATGAAGTCAGGACGGCTAAGGCGGCGGCTGTGGTTTCTCCAGGTCGTTAGGAGGCTCTGCTCAGGGACATGGCGTGTCTCGGTACCTCTGGAATTGGAGGGTGTCACAGTCACCCTGGGCTCTATTTTATGAAAAGCCTTCCGGGCTTATCTAATGAGATAGCCACAGGAGTTTTTCTTCATGACTTTTAGAAGATGCTCTTGTATGGATGGCAGACAGATGCCGAGAAAGTTGGGGACCAGGTTGGGAGGCCATGGTCTTCTTTTTTCTTTTTTTCTCTTTATATATTTTTTATTTTTATGTGTATGGATATTTTGCATACATTTATGTCTGTGTACAAGGGACATGTCTAGTATCTGTGGAAGCCAGGAGAGGGGCATCAGGTCCCCCAACAGGAGTTGGAGGTGGTTGTGAGCAGCTCTGTGGGTGCTGGGCATCAAACCTGGGTCCTCTGAACAGCTGCCAGTGCTCTGAACTGCTGGATCGCCATCTCTTAGCCCCGAGACCGCGGTTTTAAAATACCATTCCCATCTCTCCCTTGCCCTTTTTTCTAGTGTAGAATTTTGAGCTTTTCTGACCAAACTCTTAACTATGTTAAACATTTGCCAGAAAGTATTTTTCACTTAATCCTAATAATTGTAGCAGCTAACATTTTCTTTATTGAGCAATTATTTTGTAGTAGTTTTCCAAAGCAGCCGAACTGATTACCATATATAGGTGGCCTTGGACAGCAGAAGTTAATTTCCCTACAGTTATGGAGGCTAGAAGTCTGAAGTCAGGGTAGCATAAAAGACACGACCTGAGATCTTTTTTTTTAAGTTATTTTAAATTTCTGTGTGTGTCTATGTGCACATGTGTATAGGTACTTGCAGAGTCCAGAAGGAAGTGTTAGGTCCCTGTAGCATCCCCATAGCTGGAGTTCTAAGCTGCTGTGAACTACTGTTGTAGGTGCTGGGAACTGAACTCTGGTTCCTCTGCGAGAGCCTTTGAGACATCTTCCCAGCCTCTGAGGTTCTCTTATTTAGAATTTAAAAATTTGGGACAGGATGGTTGTACTCCCTTTAACCCAGTGATTGGAAGGCAGGGGCAGATCTCTGTGAGTTCAAGACTAGCCTGGTCTACATTTGTTTGTTTGGTTTTGTTTAGTGTATGTGTGAGTGTGCCAAGATATACCAGTGGAGGCCAGAGCATGGTTCTCTGTCCACCATGTAGACCCAGGGATTGAACCGGGGTCATCAGGCGCAGTGGCAGGTGCCCTTTACTCGCTGAACCACCTCATCGGTGTCTTATTTAAATTTAAAATGTTTTCAGTTTACTTTCATTTTTGTGTATCTGTGTGTGTGTGGTGTGTGCACATGCGAGTAGATGTCTGAGGCTGACGTCAGACGGCCTTCATTTGCTCCTCATCTCTGTTGTGCTGTCTTATTCAATCTCCGTGACCCCGATACTTTGAGTCAGACTAGCCAGCTAGCCTAGGGCAGTGGTTCTTTACCTGGGGGTCTCAACCCCTTTGGGGTCAAATGACCCTTTCACAGGATCTCAAACCGCATATCCAGCATGTCAGATATTTACATGAGGATTTTTTTTTTTTTTTTTTTTTTGGTTTTTCGAGACAGGGTTTCTCTGTGGCTTTGGAGGCTGTCCTGGAACTTGCTCTTGTAAACCAGGCTGACCTCAAACTCATAGAGATTCGCCTGCGTCTGCCTCTGGAGTGCTAGGATTAAAGGCGTGGGCCAGGCTGCATTAGGATTCTTTTTTTTTTTTTTTTTTGGTTTTACGAGACAGGGGCATTAGGATTCTTAACTGTAACAAAATCACAGTTACGAAGTAGCAACGAAATAATTTTGTTGTTGGAGGTCACCACAACATAAGGAGCTGTGTTAAAGGGTTGCAGCATTAGAAGGGTTGAGAACCACTGGTCTAGGGCTTCTGTCTGTGCTTCTGGTTCCTGGGGATTGCAGGTGTGCTCTGGGGAATCGCAAACCATCCACCACAATTACACAGCGAGCACGATGCTGTGTGAGCACCATTGCGCCAGCCCTGTCCTAAGGCTCAGGAAAGGTTTGTTCTGTGCCTCTGCTGGCTTACGACCGCCCTTGCGTCACCTCAGGTCCTCCCCTTACCCTCACACAGCATTCTCCCCGTGTCCTCCTAGGAGGACACAGATCCTTAGGGATGTCCTATCCCACCCAGTAACGCTCGTTTCCACTTGCTTATGTGTATCTGTAAAGACCCTGTTAGTAAAGTCAAAGATTTAGGGTAGACACAGGTTTGGGGGGACACTGCTCAACTGGCATGCTGTACCAGACACTAATGCTTTGCTTGCACATTTAACTGTCACTGCGTTCCCCTAGAATCACCTCTATTTTACAGATGAACAAATGGCAGAGCTGGGATTCATAGGCTAAATAAAGCACCGTCTCTGAGAGTCTAAAAGAGGATCCCAGGGTGGAAGGGGCTTTGAGAGGCCAGGTGAGGCTCTCGGTGTCCTGCCTCTGCATTTAAGGCTCTTTTCCGTCTGAATTGGAAAAGATGGATTCTTGAGCTGGCTTGTTCTGGGTGCAGGGATGCAGGGGTGCAGGAAGACACAGCCCTGGTTTTATAATCTTCTTCTTTCCTCTTTCCAGTACTGGGGACTGAACCAGGGTGTCGCTTAAGCAAAGTATGTGTTTACCATTGAGCTGTACCCTCAGCCAAGCTCTACTTCAAAACCAATTTGAGTTGGGTGTGGTGACCCACAACAATAATCCAAGCACTCCAGACGAAGAAGCAGGCCGATCTCTGTGAGTTCAAGGCTAGCATGGTCTACATTGTTGGTTCCAGGCCAGCCAGGGCTACACAGAGAGATTCTGTCCCAAAACAAAACAAAATAAAAACATCCCACCAGGCTAGGTAGTGGTGACCGCACACCTTTAATCCCAGCACTTGGGAAGCAGAGGCAGTTGGATCTCTGTGAGCTCAAGGTCAGCCTGGTCTACAGAGCGAGTTCCAGGACAGCCTTCAAAGCTACACAGAGAAACCCTGTCTTTATAATGTCTCCGCCCTCATGGGTGGATAGCTTTGTGGGCTTCACTCCTACATGTCTTAAAACAAAAAAACAAAAAAACAAAAAAAAAAAAACAAGAAAGGGGCTGGAGAGATGGCTCAGAGGTTAAGAGCACTGACTGCTCTTCCAGAGGCCCTGAGTTCAATTCCCAGCAACCACATGGTGGCTCACAACCATCTGTAATGAGGTCTGGTGCCCTCTTCTGGCTTGTGGCCATACATGCAGATAGAATACTGTATACATAATAAATAAGTAAATCTTT